AAAATAGGCAAATGTGAGTACAAATGTACCCAGCAAGACTTACATCAGAACTATCTACATATGCATCATTATCAACAAAGGGATGGTGGGGTTTAACTACAGCAAGCCAACTTTGACTCAGTGGCTATCCTGAACTACGACTGCAAGTAACACTTTTGAGGTGGCGCACACGAGTCCACATATTCACAATATCAATACACCACTATGGATCTGCCCCCGTCTCCCTACGAGAACGCCATCCATAGCACTCACGCTTATCTTGCGTATTTTAGAGTATCCACTTTCACTTGTTTATGAACTGTACAGGCGACCCAGAAGTCCTTTACCGCGGACACGACTATTCGAATAGATCATATTAACCCCGCAGGGTTGTACTTCTTCACACACGCTCTCGCCACTTACTGCCATGTACATCTCGTGTATCTCGGCAACCTTCAAGCGGAAGCCTGACGAGGGAGTTGGCCACGACCTGACTAACCACACAAATCTCTCGTCCAGGTTTATCGCCTATTCGGGTTCCATCCGCAAGGAGATCCGGCCGGGGTGTCGCTCACGGCCCCAAACGATGTGTGCAGGGTTCCCAAGCCCACCTCGACGGGTGGATCTACGCTTGGTACACCGTGCCACGGTGCCTAGTCTGTCCCAAGCCCACCTGTACCGGGTGCCACTTGGTAGACTACTAACACTACCTACAAACACCAGAAACTAGTTGCAACTCCTGGACAGAGATCAGGTTGATTAATAAGTCGAGAGGGGCACTTAAGCATTCCAATGCGTGGTAGTAACTGTTCATGGATCACAAACACAGAACTCAGTTCCTGAGGACGGCTGCAATGAGACAACCCACCATGTACTCCTACATGGCCTCTCACCGCTACCTTTACCAATCGTGTTCACACACTTAGCTCACACACAGTAGGACATGTTCACACACCTCCAATTCATCCCCGATGAATCAGACCTGACTCAACTCTAAGAAGTAGCAGGCATGACAAACAAGCATGAATGAGTAGGCACATCAGGGCTCAAAAAACTCCTACTCATGCTAATGGTTTTCATCTATTTACTGTGGCAATGACAGGTCATGCAGAGGATAAGGGGTTCAACTACCGCAACAAGTAATAGTTGAATCGTTGTTGTCCTAATGCAGTAAAAGAGAGCAAGAGCGAGAGAGTGGGATTGTATCGGAATGAACAAGGGGGTTTTGCTTGCCTGACACTTCTGAAGATAATATAGTTCTCCATCGGTGTCATCGAACTCATCGTCGGAACCAAGTCTATCGAGAGGGGACAAACACCAGCAAACAAGGAAGAACACAATTAATGCAATGCACAATATGATGCATGATCATGACATGGCAAGATGCTGTAATTTGAGCTAATGCAACTAGCAACAGATTAAATGAACTTGGTTTGAATACAAGATTCAAATTCAAACTCCATATGTGATTATTCAAATGACATTTAATTGATTTGACCTAAACAGTGAACAAAAGTTGTTCTAACATGCATGAAAATGGTACATATGGATAGATTGGATTTTTCTGATAATTTTTCATATATAAATTATTTCATTCTGACTTACGGTTGAATTTCTATGAATTTTAGAAGTTTTGAACATTTTCTGGAATTTCCTGAATAAGAATAAATCCAGTAAATGATTTATTGTGTAAGCACTGCATCACTGTGATGTCAGCAGGTCAACAGACGCTGCTGCAGGTCAAACCTGACCAGTGGGGTCCACTGGTCAGTGACTGGGGCTGGTTAGTGTCGCTGACGTGTGGGCCTAGTCAACGACCACGTCAGCTTGGTCAAAGCTGACGCGTGGGGCCGCTGTTGTTAATTTAAAACTAAACAGGGAATAAACTGTGGTTCGTTAGGCAGTGGGGCCCAGCTGTCAGTGACTGTTGTGGGTAGTTAGCAGTGTCACAGGGGGGTTATTAGCGCGGGTTGACCGGTTTGACCGGCGGTTAGTCGCCGGCGAGGCCGAACGCGGCGGAGCGCATTGGGTTTGTCGCTCCGGCGACCATTTGGGTGGCAGAGGCCACGGGCGAGGAGCCAGGGCTCGTCCGCGTCGTCTGGAGCAAGCGGGAGAGGCGGGGGCGGCCTGAGCTCGCTGGGAACGAGCTCGAGGCGGTGGCCGGAGCACGGCCAGGTGCGCGCGGGGTGCTACGGGGCACGACAGGAGCTGCGGGCGGCGACTTTGGTCTTATGGGACGCTCCTCAGCGCGATGGCATGCGCGGGCACGAGCTGCGGTGGCTCTGGCCATGACGGTGAGGATCCACGGCGGCACGACCGCTCGGGTCCGGTGGTTAGCATGGCTACAGCGCGCGAGTGACAAAATGGAGAGGGGGAAACGGCGGCGGGGCTCACAGTGGATCCGTCGGAGGCGTCAGCAAGCTCGGGGAGGCGGCGAGGCGAGCGTGGGGTCGCCGGTGATCTCAGGTGCCGTAGGTTGAAGAAGGGGCTGATGCAGGCGCTGCGGTGCGTCCCCGGTTGCGTTGGTCGTCGAGGAGGGAGACGGAGCCGCGACAATTCTCCTGGACACGGTGGATGGGCGAGGGAGGGCCGGTGGCCGCGATGGTGCTAGTCGGCGGCGACGGCTGCGCTCGGGTGAGCTCGGGGGAAGAGAGCCAGGGGAGGGGGGAGAGAGCAGCGAGTGAGGGAGAGGGGACAGGGGCTTCAGGCGTCTCCGTGGTGCTGGTAGAAGGCCCGGGGCTCCCAGGTGGAAGCAGGAGGTGGCCGAGGGCTCTCGGGCGCGCGCCACGCCTCGCCTCTGCCTTCTGGCAGAGGTGGGAGATGACTGGCAATGGGGCCAGTGGGCTGGTCCGGCAGCTGGGCTGCACAGAACCTGGGCCAGTCAGGTAAGCTACAGGTAAGCTCTCTTTTCCTTTTGTTCCAGTTTTTCTATTTCTTTTATTCTGTTTTGAATTAGTAAAAATACTAATCCATTTTGTAAAATCCTGAAAATAATTTTGGGCACTATTTGAAATATATGCAACAGCCCTCATTTAGTTTCAGAATTATTTGAGCATTTAAATTATTTATAGCATTTAAATGCCCAAATTCAAATACTTTATGAATTAATTCAAAAATCAAAAATGGACCTAGAAATATGTGCATCATTTTTGGCAGAGGTTTTAAACCAATCCAAAAATGATGAACTTTTCTGAAGGGCATTTTGGGTTCATTGAGAATAGTTTTATTTGAACCTAGTTAATTTGATCTGGCGCTAGGGTTTGAGCAATCCCCATTTCAAATTTCAAATAAATTTAGACATGATGCAGCAACCAAGCTAGTCCAAGTGCATAGCAAGGCTAGGGACGTGACAGTTACCCTTCGTGAGTTGAAGTCTCCATCAACGTGGATGTACGATAGCACCACCTATCGGAACCACGCCAAAAACATCCGTGTCTCCAATTGCGTTTGAATCCTCCAAACCCTTTCCTTGACATTCTTGCAAGTTGCATGCTTTACTTTCCGCTGCTCATATACTCTTTGCATGCTTGCTTGATATGTATTGTGAATGTTGAACTTGTGCCCAAACTCCACTCAAATTTAAAGATCTTAAAAACTGCAACTTTGGTACTTAGTGTCTAATCCCCCCCTCTAGACACATCTTCTCAAGGTCCTACAGTACGACTAGATCAACCGCGTAGTTCTAACGCTTCCGCTTTCGGTCTACGAGGGTACGTGGACAACACTCTCCCCTCTCGTTGCTATGCATCACCATGATCTTGCGTGTGCGTAGGAATTTTTTTGAAATTATTACGTTCCCCAACAAGAAAATGGTTTTAGGCGATGTTTCCTCTTTCATCACCAAGGTTTTTATCACCGAATAGAGCAAATTTTATAGTGTTCAAGGAGAGTTCTGGTAGTCGACGTGTTTATTCCTAAATGGCAATCCACCATATGTGTAATCTAGGTACCCGGTGCAAGTATAAACCGAAGGGTTTAGTCTTTAAAGTCACGACAAAAACACAAGCCTTATGGTTAGAACCCAACCATCCGATCTCGAGGTAGATCATTTTGTACTGTGTACTCCATCGAATCAATACAATCCAAGCAGCAGGACGTAGAATTTGACCTCTTCGAGAAGGCCCAAACCTGGGTGAACATTGTATTCCTTTGTCTCCTACTAACATTGTTCCAAGACTCACAACTCGGGATCCCCTACCCGAGATCTGCCGGGTTTAGCACCGACACTCGAGGTGCTCTTTTCGTTTTGTTACATTTTTAACTGGTGTAAACTGGTGATACAACGTCCCTCAATGGGCCAGCCCATCACAGCTCCGTGCGTGTGAAACAAGGGCAATTTGCATGGAAAAGAATATCTACCTGGCCACAATTGACAATCTCAGGTTTGACCTGCCATGTCAACAGTCTCTGTTTAGGAACACTTTAAAGATTTAAAATAGATCGGGGTCATGGAGTTCGGTGTGCTGATTTCAAGAATTAACAATTCAGGGTTCAATTTTATCTTCAACTAGAATTTCAAAGTTTGTTCTGGACTTTATCCGCTTGCATGTTCGGTGTAGAAGACGAGGTTGGAGTCAGTCTTGGATGGCCGGTAGTAATTGAAGATCGCCAGGCCCCGTGCCTGGACCCCACACCGGCATCAATCCCCATTGATGCCGGCCACTCATGCTGTACCTTTGCATTGAGACTAGCTACGGTGGGAGTAACTTCAGCAGTAACATCGAGTCGAACTCAGCAAATTTGCTTATGTGGCAGTGAGTTAAAGAGGAGAGAGGTAGTTATAGTAACTTAGCTAGTTACTGTAACATCACATGTCCCAATGCAATATGAGTTTATAGCCTAATAAATGAAGCTTTGCATGTTACCACACTTATGTTACTATGCATTATGAAGGTAGTAACATAGTCTAGGGATATATGTATGTTACTAGTGTATGTTACTCACCATTGTGGCTAGTCTGAATGGATTAAGAGAGATGGTGTACAAAAGCAGGTACTCCAACCTCCACGAGTGCTCGCCCGATGGCTCGCGTCCTGCGCACCTCCCACGTTGTGGCCTTGCCAGCCGGCGCCGCGCTCCATGAGCGTTCTCTCCCGCTCACCTACCTAGATGCGGTGTGCCTCCACCGCCCGCTCGTCGAGGGCGTCTTCTTCTACCCCGACGCCACCAGCGACGTCCTCTCCAACCTCACGGACTCCTTGTCCAATGCACTAGCCGCATTTTACCCTCTGTCCGGCCGCCTCCGCCTCACCCCCGGCACGCACAACCGCTACGAACTCCACTACCAGCCGGGCGACAGCGTCACCTTTACCGTCGCCGAGTACGACAATCACCATGTCGGCTTCGAGGAGCATGCCACGGACGACCTAACGGAGGTTGCCAAGATCGTGCCGCTTGTGCCGCCGATTCCCGAAGGTGGCGCGGTGCTTGCCGTGAAGGCCACCGTGCTGCGCGGCGGCCTCGCTACCGGCGTGACCGTTCACCACGCCGCCTGCGACGGGGTGTCGTCGACGCACTTCCTCCGCACCTGAGTCTGGTCGGCGGCAGCCTGCAGCGGTGCGGGCGCGCCTGAGCCGCCCTTTGTCGACCGCTCCATCATCTGCCCACGAGACACCTGTACGACGCTTTCATGGCGCCCAGGCTGTCCAGTAATGACGACGACGGTGGGAAACCCCCCGATTCGCCCATCGTCCAGCAGCTCCTCGCCACGTTCACGCTGTCCATGGAGTACCTGCAGAGCATCAAAGAAGCGGTCGCCAGCAAGGAGGAACGCCTTGGCGTGCTGCCGCCTTGCGCCACATCAATCATCGCGGCGTTCGGCTTCATCTGGCAATTGCTACATCCGAGCTAAACCAGGCACTGATGGCAAGGTAGCGTCGTCTTGCGGTGGCCGTGCCTACTTTGTCTTACCGGCAGACCACCGGACGAGGCTGGAGCCGCCCGTCCCCGATGAGTACCTCGGCAACTGCCTCGGTCCGTGCATCGCGTCAGCGCCCAGGATGGATGTCGCTGCCGCCGGCGTGGACGGTCTGTTCACCGCATGCGCGACGATCGTTACGGCCATTGGCGGAGTGGTGCGCGGCAGTCCCGGATACTGGGACCGGTGGATGGAGCGGATCAGTGGGTGTACAGCACGTGCGACGACTTGTCGCTAACGGTCGCAGGGTCCCCGAGGTTCCGCGTGTACGACACAGACTTTGGGTTCGGGCGGCCGGCAAAGGTGGATGTCGTATCGGTGGCGAGGACCAGCGCGATGGCTGTGGCAAAGGCGCGTAGCGGCAGCGATGGGGTGGAGGTGGGCATCTCTTTGTCGGCGGGTGCCATGGAGCATTTCAACGACTGCTTTGCCGATGCCATCGCGTGCCTTTTATCGTAGGAGTATGTTTAATGAGGGCATTGTCCTTTTATAAGTGCCTATGCAATAAGATGTTTGGTTATGCTTTGCGCAGCCAGGTGCCGCGGCTTATTCAAGTGCCCCCCGAACCACGTGAAATGGTCGCCTATTACACGGCTCACAAACTCTGCCTGGGTGCAGCTACCTATTATTCGTAGGCGGTACATGCAGCGCACGCAGCGCTGAAGTATGAGTCCCGTGGACTAGCGATTACTTCTTCACGAGGCTCATATCAGGCGCTACGGCGCTGAAGTATGTAACTGATGCCATACTTTCAGGAAAAGCTCGAACAACGTTTTGTCAATCGAGGAAAGTTTTTGATGACAAGACCTGGAGATATCAGTTTTTTGTCAGAGTGGATTCGGACCGCCACTTCTCTAAAAGCATGGTTCTTGCTAAACCCAGGCATGGGCAGCCCGGCCCGATGACCCGGCCCGAGCCCGGCCCAAAAAACCCGGGCCGGGCCGGGCCGGGATTGACATTCGGGCCGGGCTCGGGCTTTGTTTTGCAGCCCGAAAGATAGTTCGGGCCGGGCTCAGGCTTCAATTTTTCCATATTTCGGGCCGGGCTTTCGGGCTTCGGGCCGGGCTTGCACGTGCGCGTACTAAAAAACAACATTCGGGCCGGGCTTTCAGGCTTCAGGCTTGATTTCGGGCCGGGCTCGGGCTTGAAAATAGGGAGTATTTCGGGCTTCGGGCCGGGCTCGGGCTTGAGTAATGAAGGTCGGGCTTTTACAAGCCCGGACCGGAACCCGGCCGGGCCCGATGTTTGCCCGGGTTTAGTTCTTGCCTCCCTCTCTCCTTCCTCCTTGGAGCTTGTCCATTCGTTGGTGCAGTGGACTTGGCAATCCGACCCCTTCAAACGCCCGCAGACAGTGACCGGTCATCTCTCAAAAAACACATTTCATATCGGGATACCTCAAATCAGAAACTTCAAATCCATATTATTACATGCAACGTGAAACCTAATCTACGCGGAGCTCGTCCGGTTCCGCTCCCCGCTCGTCCGGCTCCGCCCTGGCCATGTCCAGCGGCCGGCTGCGCTCCTCAGACTGTTGGTCCGGTCGCCGGCAAGGTAGGGTTGGGCATGGGACACGATATGGATCACGAGACTCAAGGCCCCGCCGTCTCTCATGCCCTACTCTTCCTCGTCGGAGACCAGGACCTGAACGGTGTCGGTGGACATCAGATAAATGACGGATCCGTCCGGTGACGAACTGCCGACGTCCACCACAATGCGGTTGCGGCGCCCGAACTGATACACCATACGGGGCGCCGGAGAATGCGACTCCGCCTCACCGACGTGCGCCGCCTCCCGCGCCCGTTGCCTTGCACATCATGCACGCCATGCCATGACCTCATGGGACAATGGTGCTTCCCCAATATCGGCGCACCACCGGAGGGGTTGTGCGTCCGCCAGTGCGTTCGGACGCCACACGGACCGCACGGCCTCCGACGAGGTAGTTACGGCCGGCCTAGCTCTGGATCCATGCCCCATTTGGGCGGACGCAATAGATTCCCAACGGATGGAGTCAGAGCGCAGCCGTCCACGGGCCTCCTCCCGGGCACGTAGGAGTGCAAGTCGGACGACCATCTCCTCCTCGGGGCCGCACGGGATGAGTTCGGGGTCGACGAATCTAGAGGTGCAGGACTCGGATCCGCTGACCGCCATGCCGGAGACGACCGGAAGGAGTCAGAGACGAGTTTGGGTGGTGGAGGGGAGTCGAGGGGAGGGGAGTGTGAAAGTGCAACTAATCCCTGCGTGGTTTTGGTAATTCATAACAACATATAGCTCATTGAACTAATATTCTTTCAAGATCAACGTTTCAGAAAGTTCAATGGTTGGTATGGCATGGACTAGAGATGCTGAGGACACATATTGGCAAATGCTAGAGACTCTACATTTTCATTTAAGTATTCAAGATCACATTGAGTCCATAGGAAAAACCAATACTATTAAAAGGGTATGAGGTGTTGCTTAATGGCTTGCTTGCTCAAAATGCTTAAGTGATATGCTCCAAAGCCCTCAACCACTTTCTCATTTCCACATATGTCCTAAATCTAAAAGTCAAATTCGGCCCCACCGATTTGATCTATCCGGCGCCACCGAGTTCACTTGACATACCCGTAACCAAAAACCCTAATCAGTGCAGTCTCACCGATAGGGATCTCGTTCTCACCGAGATGGGATTGCAAACTCTTTGTTTCCTTCATAACGTTTTGGTCTAACCAAGATGAGAGATCGGTCCCACCAAGTTCGCAGTGCAAACTCTATGTTTCCTTTTCATAACATTTCAGTCTCACCAAAATGAGCGATTGGTCCCGCCGAGTTTGCCTGACCAAGTCTCTGTTTGCTTATTACTGAAATCGGTCTCGCCGAGTTCATGTGATCGGTCTCACCAAGATGAGTTTTTTTCCTAACCCTAGCGCATCGGTCTCACCGAGTTGATATTGTCGGTCCCACCGAAAATCCTAATGATCACATTTTGAACCAGGTCGGTCTCACCGAGTTTCACTATTCGGTCCCACCGAGTTTGGTAAATTGTGTGTAACGGTTAGATTTTGTGTGGAGGCTATATAGACCCCTCCACCCCCTTCTCCATTTGAGAGAGAGCCATCAGAATGTGCCTACAGTTCCACTACTCATTTTCTGAGAGAGAACCACCTACTCATGTGTTGAGGCCAATACATTCCAATCCAACCACAAGAATCTTGATCTCTAGCCTTCCCCAAGTTGCTTTCCACTCAAATCATCTTTCCACCAGATCCAAATCCGTGAGTGAGAGTTGAGTGTTGGGGAGACTATCATTTGAAGCACAAGAGCAAGAGTTCATCGTCAACACACCATCTTTTACCTTTTGGAGAGTGGTGTCTCCTAGATTGGTTAGGTGTCACTTGGGAGCCTCTGTCAAGATTGTGGAGTTGAACCAAGGAGTTTCTAAGGGCAAGGAGATCGCCTACTTTGTGAAGATCTACCCAAGTGAGGCAAGTCCTTTGTGGGCGATGGCCATGGTGGGATAGACAAGGTTGCTTCTTCGTGGACCCTTCGTGGGTGGAACCCTCCGTGGACTCGCACAACCGTTACCATTCGTGGGTTGAAGTCTCTGTCGGTGTCAAAACCGGCAGATCTCGGGTAGGGGGTCCAGAACTATGCGTCTGAGGATCGTAGGTAATTAGGAGGCAGGGGACACAATGATTACCCAAGTTCGGGCCCTCTTAATGGAGGTAATACCCTACTTCCTTCTTGATTGACTTTGATGAGTATAGGGGTTACAAGAGTTGATCTACCTCGAGATCCTAATAGCTAAGCCCTAAATGTCTAGCTTGTATGATTATGTTGGCCCCTAAGGACTAAACCTGCCGGTTTATATAGACACCGAAGGGATCTAGGGTTGTACAGAGTCGGTTACAGAGAATGGAAAGTACATGATCCGAACGCCAAGCTTGCCATCCACCCAAAGGAGAGTCCCATCCGGACACGGGAGAGGTCCTAATATCTCGTATCTTCACAGCCCATCAGTCCGACCCATGTCACATAGGACGACCTCCCGAGGACCCCTTAGTCCAGAACTCCCTCAGTAGCCCCTGAACCAGACTTCAATGACGATGTATCCAGCGTGCAGATTATCTTCGGCATTGCAAGGAGGGTTCTCTTTCCGAATACTCCAAAGAAGCTTTCCGCACACAAGAGCTGTATCCGGCCTTGCTTAACACGTACAACCCTAAGCTATAAAAAGCAACAATACTTAAAATAAGTCACGTCCACGGGCCACTTTTTCGGCGAGACGTTATGTTCCGGCCTTATTATTATTCTGAACCGTCTTATAGCCTTGTTTCGCATTTTGAGGTGCGGCCAATGTCACGTCTTGTCAAAGCAGAGATCGTGTCCCCTTATCACGGGATTCTCATCAATAGGGGTTTTGGGTAATCCAACCGTGCCGTTCACACATCCCCTTGGGAATAGGCGAGATTTAAGGCTTATGAGGGGCTGCCTCTATAAGAGGACAAAGACCTATCTGTTCACCTCACGCCTTCTTCTTGCTCTGCCTTTCAATCCCCCGAGCTCCAGCGCCCAAGTTACAAACTTTCCTTCCGCCCCAAGTTCTCCAGCAATGGCCAGATTTGGCTTTCAGGGCAA